AAACTTTATAAGCAATATTTATAATAGGTAATAAGTTTAAGTATTAAAAATTTTAAATGATAAATTTTAAAGTTTGTTAAGTATATTTATGACGTCGTTTTACTCACTTTCATCAGATTGGTGTTCCATTCTATATTGGTTTTCTTTGGTTATATGGAATTTGATATCATAGATTATTTTTCATTGACGGCGGATTGAAACTGGATAATTCAGTGCCTCTAGGGAAAGTGTTGCAGGGGGGGGGGAGTAGGAAAAGTTTACCTTTACATTATGAGGGTTTAAAATATATTTTAAAGTGTAAGGGTTGAATTTTTGATGGAATTTGATATCATAGATTATTTTGACGGTGAATTCAAACTGGATAATTAAAGCTGTAAACAGTGCCTCTATGAAAAGTGTTGGAGGGAGGGGGGGGGGGTAGGAAAAGTTTACCTTTACACTAAGAGGGATGTTTAAAAACTATTTTAAAGTGTAAGGGTTGAATTTTTGTTGGATTCAAATTATTTTTTTCTTGCGATTACTGACTGTAAATTGGACCTGAACTGAGTATCTGTTTAATTTCGCCAGAAAATTTATGTTTATCAGAGATTCTATGGCATATAAGTACCATTTTTAATCAATAAATTTTGAACATAAAAAGACAGGAGTTGTGAAAAATAATGTTTAAAAAATAATATTTATTTTTCAAAATATATATATAATGCAATTACATAACATGTGTGCCATTAATTTTACCTAAAAATAATTCAAAATATAGGAACAATAACTGATTACTAGGGAACAAATTACAAATATGCTTTAATCCTGGGATTCGTAATCATTAATTTTATGTCAATTATAATTAAAAAAGCTTTAATTTTATATTGCTTAATTTTGGGATTCATTATATTCCTTATTTTTATATTGCTTGATCTTGGAATTTATTCATATATTCCTTTTATATATTGCTTACTATTGTGATTTATATCTAATATTATATTGCTTAATTTTTGGACCCATATATTCCATTATCTTTCCTAAATTTTAATTGTATATAGCTTAATTATTGGATTTCATATATTCATCAATCGTAGGTCATTTTAGAAATTTTTTCTTTATAACTATCACTTAATTATATGATTCACATTCAGTAAATCTTTATTTTTCATTTAAATGGAATTGATTATTTTATCAATAAATACATATAAATTATCGTGAAAGAATTGTGTAATTTAATAGTAGTGCTGTAAACATTTTTAAAAAAATCGAACGCGTTCGCGTTCAACGTTCATTGACAAAAATCGAACGCGTTCACGTTCACGTTCAAATTCAAAAAAAGGAACGCGTTCAAGTTCATGAACGCGTTCATACGTTCAAAATTTTATGATAAATTTTTTTTTCAATTTAATTTAATATAAATAAATGCCTTATATTTTTCAACACAATATATTAGCCATGATAAAAAATAATAGTTTTATTTTAATAATATAATTATAAATACAATATAATAGAGCGATAAAAAAATTTTCTTATTAATTTTTAATAATAATTGCTTTTCAAAATTTTCATCTGATAGGCATGAACGCTTGTCAGTTAATACAGCGTTAGCTATACTAAAAACTCGCTCAACAGGGGCGGATGAAGGGATTGCGGTGTTTTACTTGATAAACAATTCTTTTAAAAGGGGGAATTTATTAAAAACATTTAATGTTTTATCCATTGTTTCAAAAAATTGAGCTATGTTATCATCCTCCAATCTGCCCTCTTCTTCCTCGTCAAATAAAAAGGATATCTCGGAATTGATTTTAAAACAGTGAAATATTTTTGATATTTGGGCCATGGTAATTCTAATTCATCTAATATTGAATTTTGATTTTCAGAATCTGATGATGAAATATTTATATCCATGCAAATGCTAATCTATTAAATTAAAATATAAAATATTCAAATTAATAAACTTTAATCTTATCTTCTCTAGCAGTAGCACTATGGTACGTTAATTGCAATATGAAAAAGGAAAAAGTAAAAACAGCTGATTAAAAAGTATAAGACTTTTTTGTTAAAAAATTGGATTAAATATTAATTTTTCAAATAAATAAAAATATAAGACTTTTTTGTTAAAAAATAATGCGGATTAATATTAATTTTTCAAATAAATAAAAATAAAAAGTGTTTTTAAAATTGAACGAACGTAAAATTGAACGCGTTCATCAAAGAAAAGGAACGCGTTCGCGTTCAAAGTTCGTCAAAACAAAAGGAACGCCGTTCATCACCTTTTTTCAAAAAAAATAACTTCGTTCACGAACGCGTTCATTTTGAACGCGTTTGTTTACAACACTACTTAATAGCAATCTTGAAATTAAGTTGTGAACCAGAATAAGGGTTCAGGAATTTTAATTATTTAGCAAGAATTTTGATAATAGGAACTTAATCGAAACCAATTTTCTGAAAGAGGGCTGATCCCGCTAAGTGTCTAAATTACCTTGGGTTGATGGTTTACACATTTATCGGTCTGTTTGGTCTGTGGTCTCAAAATTTTTAAATTTCTGAACCCTAATTTAGGTTCATTTAAACATTAAAAATAAAGGGGGGGGGGGGTATTAGAGCCCTTTAAATTCAATTTTTTTCGACCTAAGCTAGGCCGCTCGAAATTTTCATTTAAAAAAATATAAATTGAAAGCATTTACATGAAGATAAAAATCACTAATTGTAGTACTTATTGCAAGTAAATTCTAATTATTTGATAAAAAAGAGCTTTTGCAAGTTATTCATATCGATATGAAAAAAATTTACTAGGTTCCTGGCATTTTTTACATAAATTTACAATTTTAGGAAAATATATTCTATAATACATATTGCCAATCGGCAAAATCTGAAGATAAAAAATGAGAAATATTTAAAATTAAATTCATCTTTTTAAGCTTGATTTTTCAAACTCTGGAAATAAATAACCATAAATAGATCAGATATCAAATTTTGAGAAAAGTTACATCATGTAAAATTTAATACATGGGGGTGGGGGGTGTTAAACTTATGAGATGCATGAGAAACCACTTTTATTTATCCATTCAGTGAAAAGACCAAAGGATGACGGTAAAAAACGTCTTGAAGGAACTTTGGAATTATATTTTTATATAGTGACTAGAAGGATTATCTTACTGATATTCTGCTGAATGTGGATAATTATAAGTGATTGGCAATCCACAATAACCACTTTTCCTAAGTTTGACTTGGAATAGAAGGCATCATAGGCATGGATATTAAAGGTCAGTTGTTTTGTAGATAATTGAAAGCCAATTATGATAGCCTTCATATTTAGCTGGATTGGGATTTTAAAATGGAATGAGACAAAATAAAATGCTAACACATTTTAAAAAACACTCTTTATTTGTAAATATACCAACTTATCAATCTTTATTTGCAAATTATTTGATGTCTATTTTATTTAACAGGTATCTTTCTTTTTGAAACTCCAGGCAATTCATGTTCAAGCTCTGACCATTAATTTGGCTTATAACAAATTAAATTACATCAAAGAACAATTTTTTTTAATGATGTGTACATTAAGTTAAACTAACTCCAAATCAGAATTTGAATAAGAAATTGAAAATACAGAATTTTATCCCTAATTTTTAAAAAATTATCCATTTTCTTGATGAGATAATATGAAAGCATTTATAATTACTTTCATTAATATACTTGTCATGCTATTTCTATCCTACAGCCCTTTCATTATTAGATCCATTATTTTGATATTAGTCAAGTTTTTTTTATCACCTTATTATCAAAATAGCCACTTACAGTTAAGATGTTAAAATATGCTTAGGCTAGCTTTGAATAAAATGATTTTAATTGGGACATGTTTTAATAGAAAATTTCAATGTCCAGATATTATTTTAAAAATCTATTATAGGAATAAATGATAACCAAATAGGTAAAAACCTTTACAAGATTTGTCTATTTGATTAAATATTTGTATTTTTTTGAGTTCCTTTATTTTATTTGTTAACCTGTTGATTTTTATTTGAACATTTCATTGATTCTATAATAACAAATATACTGCCTATTTTTTTAGCAGCATTATGCTGTATGTGGCAAATTCAGACTTCTGGAAGTATTCTTTATGCATTAAGAAATAATATTAATTACTCAGAACATGGATAATATTTTAACCAGTTTAGAAAAATAGTAGTAACAAGAAATTTTTGGCTAATTTTAGACTTTAGCATGGCTAGGTCCAAGTTATGTTTCAATTCCCTAAAGTAAAATTACAGAATAATTTTTTTTTATTCCGTGATCCATGATATATAGTGCATATGCCCTCTGGCATTGAATAAACAACAGAGCTACGCTAGGTATTCCTCATTTCCATCTAAATGGAACATAAGTTAATTTGGGAGAAAGTTTTAAAAAAATAGGAGCCCTCTACACATTTGTGGGCAAGCCGTACGTATTTGTACGTGCAACATTTTGAAAAAGGTTACAGACATTCATAGGCTTTAAGAAAAAGAGCGGGGCAAAAAAAGAGCCTATGCCCAAGAAATGCAGTATAAGTTAATTACTTTAAAGGTGAGTTGAGGCTGATTTTAAATTTAATTTTTTTATAATTAAAGCTGTAAAATTCATGCTAAAAAAAAATTTGAGCATACCAATTTCATTTTAGTTTGTCCTTATGTCCTGAAAAGGTTTGGAAAATACTAGTTCATTATAAAAATAAGCCTAGATTTTTTATTTAAAATATTTGTCTTTGATTTTGAAAAGCTTCTTTATGAAATTTTTGCAGTTATTTATGATAAATTGTTTCATGTTTAAATTTAATTCCATATAATCTTTTATGATTTTATACCATAAGGATTTATATTTTGTGTAATTTTTTTTAATTAATAAAGAAAATAAATTTTTTTAAAAATATTTCTGTGTTTATCATATTTTAAGTCACGTATTTAAACAGATTATTAATCTATTATTATATTTATGCAAACATTATAACAATTAATAATATATATTATATTTGCAATATTCACATATAAATTTGGATTTAAAAATAATATGTACAATATATAGATAAAAATTACAAAATGATGAAGCATGATATTATCTATTCATAACCTTCTTGTTTTTCTTTGATTGCTTCCTAAAATATTACTTATTTAAATTTTTCATTGAATTATTACTTTAAATCTTTCTTCCATTAGTGATAATTCACTTACTAAATCTGTAATTGCATTAGTAAAAGCATCATAAGGGGTATAATTTGAGGTTGTTTGAATTCTTAATATTACCTTGTGATCTAGAGGATGGGGGCATTTGTAACCGGCAAATATAACTTGAGGGTCTTTAAGAAGCTGCCTTTTAAATAAACAAAGCAATTATAAATAATATTAATTGAAATAATTATTACATTCTCAATATATTTCCTAAGGTGTGATCTTCTTTATTGATAGTAAAAATAGCGGCATTTGGAACTTTTGTATCTTTGTAGAATATTATTCTTTAAATAAATATAATAAACTTTATTTCAACTTAATATTACTTTTTTTCCCCTTCAAAAAGTAAAAAAGATTCAAATGTTGGTGGTGCGTTCATTTAAAAAATATATGGATTGATTATTGATAAATCGCAATATGATACGAGATATTTTCAGAAAATACTATACCTTGACCAATATAAAAATAGCTCATTCAGTGGTTAATAACAATGAATTTTGAAAATATCAAGTTTATTTATAAATATTTTTTTTAGTGTTTATTCAAATAATTTAGAAATTATTTGCTTTAAATATTATAAATTAAGTTATAAAGTATAAAAAATTATTCATATAAATAATAGTTTTTAATTGTTAAAAAAATTAATATCTACTGAAAAGAAAACTATAGAATAATTTTTTAATATATCTTCCAGAAGCATAATAAAATCAATAATAAAATAAAAACACAATAAATAATATGTTATAGCATATCTGAGTTTGTGATCAGGACCGCAAGACTTTTGACCTTGAACTATAATGAATTAGGTAGTATTTAAAAATTTCTAATTAACTTAAACTTTCACATTTTTACCACCCCAGGACCACTAGCTTACCCTCTCTCCCATTTACAATGGGCTCGCTCTATTATATAATTTATTTTATGGAGCTGATTGAAATAGTTTTAATTAATACACTATTATAATAGTATATTGTCTCTAAAATTGTGGAATACATATAGATATTTGCAATTTATATATAAATGTAATGTTTGATTTACTTTGGGTGGGGCTTAACCTTTTAAAGGATCAAATTAATATCTTTTACAAAAATGAATTATGAAGCAAGATAATAGTTCTTTAAATATATAAGGCCTTCACATTTATTTTTTCAATGAGTAATTTTTTTCTATAATCTTGAATACTTTATAAATTCCCAAAGAAAATTTATGGATAATGTAAAATAACAGTAAAACTATAATAAATAATATATAGCATTAATTTATCGTAAACAACGGTAATTTTATATAACAAATACAACAATAATTTTACAATTATAGTTGAACCTTTTAAATGCGAATAGGTTAAATGCTATATTCTTAAATGCATAAAAATGCACCATTTTGAATATATTTCATTAAAACTGTTAAATGTTATAGTATAAATGCAAAAAGGTTATTTTATCAGTTATATATAAAGGTGTTGAAGTGCCTTTTATATATAAGGTAAAATAATATAGGTTAACTGCGAATAAATATATTTTTAATCACACTTCTTAATTATTAATATTGTTAAACATGTGAGAGACATCAAAAGTCCGATTATTTATTAATTAAAATTAAAATAGAAATGATAATAATGTATATAAAAGTATTTCAAAATTGAAAATATGTATGTGATGTTAAATCATAAATAAATTTATTTGCCCCACAAATGTAAAATAACGGATAAATATCTAATATTACTTCGCATTTACAAGGTTTCAATTGTATATAACCACTACAATTATATAATACTGTTTAAAAATTATATATTTATTTATAATTTTCTAAATTATCCTTCAACAATAATTTAAAAAAAAATTAAAGTAGTTTAGACACCCACATTTATCATTAAGAACATGTTTTGCATTACTAAACAAGAACTCCACTAGGAGAGCTTTCAGTCAATGGCAAAGGAGCATTCTATTCTATATAGACTTTTTTTGAAGATTTACATAAATATAAAAAATTACATGATTCATCATTTGAATTAAAAAAAATTTATTAAGTGAATTAGCATTTTGCTATATATTTTTCCCTGCGGAATTTGAAACTTTATATGGTTGAAGTGTTTAAATTTACATTATCATGTTCTTCCTTCTGCTATTTTAATAATTGCAATTCCTTCTAGACCTGCCTCTTTAACTTGATTAGTTATAAGATAACATAATTATTGTTATGTTTCTATTGTTTTCAATATGATTGTTAACCTTATATTCGTTATAATTTAACTTATTCTATAAATATTTAGGATTATTTTTATGTGAATAGTATAATATAATTATAAAAATAAAAAAAGTCATTTATCACTAGATATGGGAACCTAATTCTCAGTGATTAGATTCAGTAAAGATGAATCATAGAAGAGTAACAAATGTCATAATTTTTTTTGAAACTTTTTTGAATTTCTTTGAAGAGATTGGGTAAGAATATAAATTGTAAACATGTTAAATCAATATTTCAGTGGTGGTGAATCATAGAAGAGTGGTAATTGTCATGATCGTTATTTTTTAACTTTTTTAAATTATTTTGAAGAAAATGGGTAATATATTTTGTAAATATCTTAAATTAACATTTTAGTGAAGATGAATCATAGGAATAACTGCAAATCTTTCGATATGATGATATTATTTATATAATTAATTGATTTTTAGAAATGGTTAATAAATATGCCATTTAAGTGAAGAAAATTGTTACTTATACTAAAAAAAAATTTTTTTCAAAATGTATTTGTTAAACTAATTGTGATTAAATATATATATCAAAAATTTAATAGTATTTTAATTAATATATCGTTTTAAAAACAATCGGATAAGAAAGAAAAGATACAATAGGGAAAATTTCTGTTATAAATCGGATGAGATAATATAATTTATTGACCGAAATTTTGGTGTATTTTTTTTCTCCTTTGCGAATAATTTTATTTAAAAAACGATTTCAACTTAGAAATAAAATACAAGGTTAACGATATCAAGATTAAATATATTTTAAAAAACAAATAAGAGTATATTGAAAATTATCTAAAAAAAAATATATAGATAAATTTTATATTAAAAACATTCAAAAGAACTTTAAAAGAGAGGTACATATCACCCTAGAGAGGAGTAAAAGTTTAGAAAATTTAGAAACCTTCGAATGCCTTAATCTGCCTCTATTCTTATTTATGACAAATATAAATTTATTTTAATTTATCTTAAAATTATTTTATATTTCCACTTCTTTAACAATAGTTATCAATTAATGACTATTATTGTTATCATATATAAACATATGTTTAGATGAGTTTTGGTGGAAGAGACATTGTTTAAGTATTAGGAGGCAAAATTTAATGTCAGCCAAATTTTTAATCTATAAAATAATTTAGATTATTAAAAAAAAATTATTATATGAAATATAACATTTTATTAAAATTTGTTTAAAAGCAAAATTTAATGTCAGCCAAATTTTTAATCTATAAAATTATTTAGATTATTAAAAAAAAATTATTAAATATTATATGAAATATAACATTTTATTAAAATTTAAAATATAATAAACCTTTAAAATCAATCAGAAAACCCCTAAAATGAAGAGCTCTCGAAAAGCGATTTAAGTGATTCCATCATCTTTCCCTGATACACTATGTCATTAAAAAGAGTTAAATTAATATTTTTTTAAAAAATGTAACCCCATAGCTTTTAAAAAGCGGGCCTAAAATTCTTTTATAAAAAATCATTTGGGGGATAGGAAGGCCCAACGGCATTTTCCCTTTTGAATGAATCATATAATTTATTATTGTAATTGTTACGAATAATAAAATTTAATTTTTATTCGATTCGCATAATAACGAATGACCAATTATTCAATTCGTTCATAAGAAACGTTTTTGAAAAAGCTTAGCCTAAGGTATCAAGCGTAACGGATTACATAAATCAAGAAATAGAAGAATGTCGCAACTTTAATCAAGATTTATAGATATTTTTTTAATATTACGCATAGATTTCCAGAGCTATTAACTTTTAGAATACCTACGCTTTAATTTTATAATATATATATAATAATATAGTACTATATATATTATATTCATAAATAATATATAAATTAAAGGATAGTGTTTGTTGATTAATTTAATACATTTAGAATTTCATTATATATATATTTTTTAAAATAAATATCAAAGACTGACTAGAGATCAAACTTTAGGGCCTACCTTCCCCGAATTTGATTATTTCTCTTCTTCTCCCATTTTCAAGCTTTTATATGTTTTTGCAAAGGATATTGAATTTATGAGCAACGAATAATGATATTTTAACTGTTTAATTAACAAAAATGTTTATATATATTTTTTTAAAATTGGCCAGGTCTGATTTTTGCAAAGGAATTTATTTATAGGCCCGACCCATGTATGTAAATTTTAATATTTTTAAACCCGGTCAAGGTTTTTAAAAATTATATTATTTTGCCGGGAGACCAGATATTTTGAGCCGGAGTTTCTGCAAAATAATCTTATCTAATTTAAACCTTTTGATTTAATATAAGATATCGGCTAATAAAATAAATTTTATTTTGCAATGATTTAACATAAAAAAAGATATCAACAAAAATAAAGATTTTTTTTAAAAAAAAATTCTTATGATTTTACTATGGGAAGATTCTTTTATGCATAAAAATCATAAAAGATTTTGGAATTTTGGGCAAAATTTGATCAAAAATCATGCTTAAAAATTTTCAATTATATAAAAAAAATCTTCATTTTTTTTTGATTTGAAGAGTTTGAGATACTGATAACATAAATGACGTTTATTCTTTTATTTACAGTTTGAGTGGAACATAAAATTTATATATAACATGATATCATTTTTATAATTTTATGTTTGTGAAAAATCCGAAAAACTCTCTCCCATGTCCGAATAGTCAGAGTTCTTTTTCTTCTTGTATGGACTTACAAAACCCTTTTTAGGTGGTTCTGTATCTTGATTAAAACTGTTGTTCAACGCTAGATCAGAATTATTTGCTTCATCATTTTTAATTTTTGATGGTTCATTCGCATTATTGTTGGGGACGTAATTGTTAGATTCATAATTAAACTGAGGGCTGTAGTCGAAAAATTTCCACCAATAAGATTCAGCTACTAAGCTAGTACTTTGGTATTGCTTGAATATAATTATTGCTATTATAACCATGATTATAATAAAAATGATCATTAATGATATCCAAATTATGGGCTTTTTCAAAATAGATATGGTTTCCTTAGATTTTGAACCCTTATTGAGATTATTATTATATGTTGTATAGATTTTATTGTATACATTAGTTTCTTGAGTGGTATAGTTATATAATGGACTTATATAAGGAATGGTAGATAACATACCCGAATTTATTTCTAATTCTTTCTCGGTACAATGAAATGACGTGTTTTGGAAGCTTTCTAAAAATATATTAAATGTCAGATTTGCTCCATTGATTGCGCATGTCAGTTCGCATTCTTCGTATCTCGTGTAGGTTTCATAATAATATTCTAAGGTGACTCCGGCTTTTTCATAATTTACGTAAGTATTTAGGACAGATTCGGTTAGCGTTTCCTTAAAAGTGGTAACAATTTCACTAATTTGTTTTATCAATTCATCCCTGCACACAAACTCGTTTTCTTTTAAATTAAGATTCTTAAAACGTTGAGAGGTGATCGGAGGCAAATCTTTCATTTCGTTGTAATTAACGGTCAGAAATAGAAGGGATGGCGGAAAATTTAATTCCATGATACTCACAATTCGATTATTATTTAAAAAAAGCCTTGTTAAACTATTTAAATTGGCAAATAAAATTTTGTCTAATACCTTGATAAAATTGTACGATAAATCGAGATGTATTAGCTGGATGTTATTTTCAAATGCACAATCTTCCACAAAAGTTATGTGATTATTTTTCAAATTAAGAATTCTCAATTTTTTATTATGTAATAGATTGTAACAAAATATCTTCTTCAAATGATTGTCCTGTAAATCAAGGACTTCCAAATTATGTGCGCAATTGAATACACCTTTAGATATATTGCTAATTTTGTCTTGTTTGAATAAAATTTCTTTATATCCGCAAACGTAGAAGGCCGTAAATCTATCAAGAACATATACAGATACATCTTGAACATGTAATTGGGTGTGGTTATAGGTTATGTTGAAGTTAGTGGACATAAAATGTATAAGAATCGAGTAGAGAACGTTAGTACAATAAACAACGTAGCCAAGTTCGAAATGGCAGTTTCCGTTCTTCATAGTACATGGCATCATATCTTTTTGTGCAATAAGTAATTCATTCTTCATAGATTCGGGATACTTGCAACAAACTTGGTTGGATTGGAAGATGTTATAATATTTAATCTGGGTATTATTATTCGAAGAACTTATAAACTCTTTATACCAATTAATATAATCCTGGCCATTACAATCACATATGAATTCATTATTTATGATGAACAATTCTAATATTACCGCGTTGTAATTGTATCGCATTGAAAAACTTTTCATTTTATTATTTTCGAGCCTTATGATCCTAATGTTTTTCAGGTATCCTATCTCAGCAAATTGGAGAATATTTCCAGTTAATATTAAAGATTCAATAGTATAGGCTACCGATTTGGGAAAAATATTTGTATTAAATGTGTAAATCTTGTTTTTCCTCAAGTCTAAAGTTTTGAGACGTTTAAACGGTTGTAACATATATTCAGCGATAGATAGGTCAGAGATTGTATTGTATCCTAGATCTAAATAATCAACATAATTTGTGAATTGAAAAGTAGAAATGTCTAGGGTACTTATATTGTTAGATTTTAGAATCAAGATCCTTAAATAGGTCATGTTATAAAACGCGTATAAATCCAAGGATTCTATAATATTTTGTGATAGGTCCAATATTATAATGAATGAACCATTGAATGTACCCCGTTTTATTCTCTTTAAGGTTCCCCTAGTTATTTTTAAATAGTTTAATCGACTGGCTAAATAAATTTCTTGGCTAGAAATCCCTGTAAATGTATGATTGTTAATAATCATTGATTTTAAAGTAGAATTAGCGTAAACGCTAGATAAATTAACTCGTTTGTTGCAAATAATAGACATCACAGAAAATTCCCCATTGCATGTACTTTCATACATTTCAAACTCCATAATGCTATTACAAATCTTTTGAAATATCGTGTCAGTATTGTTAGCGCAATGTGAAACGTTTTTTAAAATCAAGCGTTTAATCGCCATCGAATCATCAATAGAAGATACATTTGTAGTATCGATCCATGTCTGCACTTGAACCATGTTTCCATTTTGACATGTTAAATTCCCTTTTTGGAAATTACAGATTTCTGATATTCCAATAACTAGCTGGTAGAATAAAAAGACCGCCTGAAAATATTTGCACGGGCTGAGTGGCTTAGTGGTACATATCTGATTTAACATTCATCTATAAGTCAATAGGAGATAGACCTTTAAATATGAAATTGGTATTTAAAAAAAAATTATTGAAATAATAAAAATAATATTTAAATCATTAGTAAAAAAGAATTTATAATTTAATTTATTTTTTAGATCATTATTTTTTCTAATATGGTTGTCATTTAGGCGTCATTATCATTATCACAGTAATTATTGCTGTATTTTCATATTTAATGATTTCGATAATTTAACATTAAAAATTTATTTTATCATTTTTTTAAATTTATATATTTTTTTAAACCAAATTTAATTTATTTATCTATTATTTAAAACTCATGTCCTATTTGTTAATACGCTATTCCAAGTACAGTACAATATTATATTTCGCCAATAAGCAGAAGTAGAAAATAATTATTAAATAAACAAGGTATCATGATAAATGATATTATTTCTGTTAGTTTACATATCATGTTTAATAATCCATTATGAACAACAATGTTCCTTCTATATGAATAAGGTCACGTGTAAAGATGGAGACGCATTCGTTTACACTTTAGAGAAAATAAAGGATGATGATGTGTCTATTGAGAACGTGGACTTGTATACACCCGATAATATGCTTACTGAATATGTATTTGGTAGACATTGTCAAACAATTGGTTACATAAGTATAAATAACATGTCGTTACTTTCATTATCATTCAAATTTATCATGTGTTGGCCGGGTTGGGTGACATACTTGGAAGCAATAAATATAGTTGATTGTGATATAGGAGAAATGTTGCCATCAGAACTTCCCTTTTTCAAATATTTGCAGGACTTTACTATTACACGTGGGAAATTTTTGCAAGTTAAAACCAATCACTTTAAGAATTCTTATACTATGGGTTTGCATTTGACTTACACAGCTTTGTCGGCAATAGAAAAAACTTCATTTGCCAATATGAAAAACTTAAATGAGGTCAATATATCCCATAATAATATAAATGAATTGCCAATGGATTTATTTCAAGGGACATTTTATATTACTGTCCTAGATATTAGCTATAATAAACTGATCACCATACCTAAGGAATTATTTAAAGGTTTCAAAATTTTGAAAGAACTGTACCTTCAGAAAAATTCCCTCAAGGAGATTTCTTTTCAAAGACCCGAAAAATTATTCCCAATTATAAGTGTATTAAATGTGTATGGAAATGCATTAACTACCATTGAGATGGTTAAGATTGAAATTTATAATTTAGTATTAGACAACAATCAAATAAGAAACCTTTCGGATTCTGCAATATATTATCCCTCTTTATCAATGTTTTCCATTTTGAATAATCCACTGGTCTGCGATTGTCACAGCCTGATATACCTAATAAAGTATAGAGATTGGGCCTTAAGCTCAAGACCGTATAAGTTGTTCAACGTTAAAAAATACGAACAGGCCAAATGTTTGTTAGACACTGGTTACAAATTCTTGAAAGAAATTATCTTAGAAAATCTATGCCCAATTCAAAATAACTGTTTCTACCAACAAAAAGCCCTGATTTGTGAAAATACATCTTTAGCGGATGTTCAAAAATACTTTAAATTGCAACCAAAAGACATTATTACCATGATGCTCATTAATGTTAGCGTTATCACTTTAAATGGATCCGATGTTTTTTGCAAAGTTGAAAGTCTATCAATAAATCAATCCAAAATCAGTACAATACCTTCCAATTTTTTTGGTTGTTTTAAAAATATATCAGACCTTTCTCTATCTCTCAATCATATTTCAGAAATCAAAGAAGGGGCCTTTTCAGTTATCGATCATTTAATCCATCTAAATATCGATAGAAACGAAATAAAAGAAATAACGCAAAATTATTTTGGAAAAAATTACGATGTAAAATTTATTAATATCTCTAAAAACAGTTTAACAAACATACACAATCAATCATTTATCAACCTAAATAAATTAATAGTACTTGATCTTTCAAACAACATGCTAAAAAGTTTAGCGATTAGGTATCCATCCTCAATCAAGGTGTTATACTTGCATAATAATCTGTTATTAACGTTGCCCGCCATTTTATCGAAAATTATTTATGTGACCTTTTTTAATAATTTACTGGATTGCAATTCCTTAGCACCCTTTATAAAAAGCTCCTACATTCAGAATCAATCCATTTTGACTAACATAACTAATTTGGTGACTGACTATCATATTTTAGAGGTAGCTCAAACCAGTTGTCAAATAAATTGTCCAAATCTTAACGAAAGTAAGGTACTTTACGTCAAGTCGTTGAAAAATCTCGAGATGGTAAATGATAGTTGTAAATTTTTGCCATCACTCCCGACTAACCGAGATGTTTATATAATAAATTATACCCAAATAAATAATAATACACGTGGTGGTTTTACTGTTATAAATTTATTTAAATGGAACGGCAATGGCAGTCGAGAATTGTACAGAAAAGTCGTCAATGACTCATATGACACTAACATTAAGAAAAAGGACAAGCATGTTGATAGCAATATAATAGTGCTAATCATCAGTATAATCGTATCGCTAGGTATATTTTTATTCACAGTTTTGTTGTTTTACAAATACCGAGAAAAGTCCAGATTGGCTAAAAGGTTAAAAGAGGATTATTTAAACTATAATACCTTGTACGAGTACGGCCCTGAACAATATAATTACAATGATGCCCAGGACACTCAAATGAGTTATGATAATGAAGATAATTTTAAATATTCAGATAAAGATTTAAAATATCATAGCCCTTCACATAAAATAGAAAAGCGAAGTTCTAGTATATCTTTGTCAGATGAAAACGAAGACTCTTACAATAGAAATAGACTTTCGGAAATAGATCCAAACACAAATGGCATCGATAGCGTGAGTCCATCCTATGATTCATATAATTACGATGATTTAGCCACCTCAGGTTATGATATGCAAATGCTAAGGAAGGATGGCTCAGAACTGGATGAGAATGAGGTTCGAAAGCCCTCGAAATCATTTGCTAATTACGTTATCGACGACAAATCATCCGATTCCAAAGTCAATCATTTCGCGCTTTACAAAGACAAAATGGGCGAGATATTTCCTAAGGAATTGAAACATTGGAGCATTCGAGATATTAACGAGGTAGAACTCAAGTCGGATAATGAGGATTTTGGGTCCGGGTCAGGGGGTTTAAGCCATTAAATATAATTAACGACGTTTTATTATTGAATCTTTGAAAGGTGTCAAAGGGTAGTATTATAATAAATTTAAGTTTGATGACATATAAATTTTTATTTAAGGCCATCATTTAAAGAATTGTTTATACGTCTTGGTTCTTACGATGTATATAAATATAATTTTAAAATAAATGCTGCTAATATATACGAGAAACGGAAATCAAGTATCAAGAAAGGTTTTCAGAACCCTAAATAAAAATGTGAGGATTGGTTAAAGATCTTTTTTTTAAAAAAAAAGGATATGAATGATTAGTTATATAATTCAATCATTAATGTTCTGTTATTATAACACCCTAAACTTAAAAGGTTCAAATCTATTTATATTTTAAAATTTCTTAAAATATTGTCTAACTATTTATGTATGGAACAGTTTTCTAAAGAAATAATAGATTTAAAAAAAAACAATATTTACTTTAATCATTTGCACCATAATTAAAGAAATTTATTTTTAAAAAAAATTTTAAATCTTAAAAAAAAAAATAATTTGGTGAAAATAAAATCTGAGAAAATATGAATTTAAATTTCAGTATTTTTGATCCTGAATAAATAACAAAAAAATGATAAGATTTTCAGAATATTTTCGAAAATTAACCTTACATAAACCGGATTTTTCAAAATATATAAAATTTATGTTGAAAAGGGAGATAAATTTATTGGGGTAAAAAAATGAACCTAAAATGCCCGCTTTGTACTTATAATAGGTGATAGAGACTGAAAAAATTACTAAATTATCTTTACATCACATCAGATAAAGGTCACATTTAAGCAACTCTTGCTTATACAATAAATCGACCACGACTACTTATTAGCTATTTTAATACATATCGTTTATTTAATTTCAAAATTATCAAATCATATTTATTAATTTATAAATTCGAATGTTCCATTCTTTTTTTTTATAAAATATATAATATAATATTTAATACAATTTATTACATTTTAAAGTTAGATTTCCTCAATAAACTTCTTTGTAGGTTTACGGTTTCTTGATGAACAACGTAATGCATATTTGTACCTGCTTCATTCACTGGTACAACCATTTCTGTAACTTCCGAAGAAAATTCATAAGTTGGAATAACTAAACGATTTCTTAGCATCTGCATGTTTTCGCAATGTTTTTCGGAAGTTTCAACAATATAAGAAGATAGCCCTGTTCTTTTTTTGATCACTCCCTCTCTCCAACATTTGGTATTCTCATTGTTTAGCCACACAGATTGTGAATTTACAAATTCTCTCTCTTTCGAATGTAAATTATGATTATGACTTTGTCTATTATTTGCCTTTTCTTTTCATGGTCAACATTAGATTGATCCAATCCAAACTAGTTTTCAATTGTTTACCAAACATAGGAGATCTCCCTGTAGAGCTATGCTCCCCCGATCGATAGGTTGTTAAAACCTATATCATAGCTTCTTCAGGATCAGTAATAGACTCTCACGTCGCATAATACCGACCTTTCAAAAGCTAATCCATTAGTTTTTGGATGATAGAGTGCCGAACGTATATGAAGTATGTTATTTAAATCACAATACCTTCAGAAATCCCCAGATAAGAATTGTGGTCCATTGTCTGACACAAATTTCTTGGGCATTCCAAACCTAGCAAACCATTTTTTTAATCGCTTAATCATAGCATCAGCAGAGTATCCTGCATTAGATCAACTTCTAACCATTTGAAGTAGGAATCGACACCAATCAGCCAATATCACGAATCTACTGGTCCAGAAAAATCAATATAAATTCGCTCCCAAGATTCCTTACCAATATAGTTCATAGAAGTACTTCTTGAATACTAGGTCTATTTTTCAGCATCCAGAACATATTTTGATAAAATTCTCTATATCAACATCACATCTGGGCCACCAACACAATCTAAAAATAGATTTTATTCCATTTTCCCCAGGATGTCCCCTATGAATCATTCCTAACACTGCATACTGCATTTCTTAATTTACTAGGAATAACCAATCTCCCATTCAATTCTATAATATCACGATCGACAGAACGCTCTTCCCGACGATTATAGAAACTAACAATTTCTTTATCTTTAAGATGATAAAAGTTTCGCCAACTTTGCTATATGTGAATTGCTATTCTTTTTAATATTACATCTTGTTTCGACTCACTTCGTAAAATATTTTCTGACAATTTCATATCATCCAAATCAATACTTCGAATATCCAAAGCATGTTTAGAATCTTGATTCTCTTCCGTTTATAATATCGGAATTATTGATAATGCGAAGGCGATTACATTTTTATTACCAGGTCTATATTCTATTGTAAAATCATAAGAAGCCATCTTCCCGGCTTATCGTATTAAACGATTTTTAGAAATTTTGGGTATATCGCGTTTCTCCCCAAATAATCGCTCTAATGGTTTATGATCAGTTCGAAGTAAAAATTTTCTACCATAATTGAAATTTTTCAATACCAAATAAATGTGCTCGAGTTTCTTTATCAATCGGAGCGTAGTGTTTCTCTGATTCTAATAAAGTACGTGACGCGAACGTAATAGGTTTTGTCTTCCGTCTGCTAATTGATATAACAACACAGCACAAAATCCTGAATCAAATGCGTCGCATTCCAATTATAGGCAACTGCGCATTATATGGAATTAACGTTTCCTCGGATGACAATAATTTCTTAACCTCATCGATGGAATTTTATTCGTCTTTCGTCCAGCGCCATGGTACTTTCACGCTCGTTAATCTATGTAATAGAGCCTCTTTACAATGTAGATTACGAATAAAACGTTCATGATAATTCACGAGTCCTAGAAAAGATCTGTTGTTGTATATTTTTAGGTTTTAGTGCATTTCGGATAGCCATCACCTTTTCTGGATTAAGATGTATATACCGAATTTAACAATAATCAGCCCTAAAAATGAAACCGATTTTTGTAAAAATCTCACTTTTGTCAATTTCGCCGTAAGACCTGCCGTCTGTAATCTGTCTAACACGATTCTCAAATTAATGCTCCTCATCATTTCGACCAGAAATAATTAGGTCATCTAAGTAGACACCAGCATTTGACAATCTTTTAGCAACTCATTCAAATATCTCTGGAATAAAGTATCACTTGCCAAATCAAAAGGCAATCGTCGGTAACGGAAAGGCCCATTATTAGTCACTATCGTTAGTAATTCCTGAGATTCTGATTCTACATCCATCTGTAAATAGGTATCTTTCAAATCTATCACGGTAAATTTATTACCACCTTGGATTTTCTCTAACAAATCGTCGTAAGTAGGAATAACATGATGGTCATACAATAAACACGGATTGAGTGTAACTTTTAAATCAGCTCAAAATCGATGTTCCCATTACTCTTGCGTACATTTATGGTTGGCGTTGACCACTGTACCCTAGTTATGGTCAATCAATCTTTCCGATAATTCCTCCAGCCACTAATCGGTCTAATTCCTTTTCAATTACTTTGCGAAGTGGAAATGGTACCCTACGGGCTGGAAACGATCTTGGTACAGCGGTATCCTTTAAATGTATTCGCACCTCAAAATCACGTATATGTACCATCTTATCATCAAAAATTTCTTGATGTTTAATAATCAAATCCCGAATTTTAGAACCTAGTGTTATACAACTTTTTTTTCAATAGTGTTGACCAAATTGGGTACTTGTTTAATCATAACCTGACGACGCATTACTAAATTGAATGCTATAATCCATAGTAATCCGAGGCACCCCAGTTGTATTCATTATTACCACTGGTAAGGTCCTTGTCTGTGATCCAATCCTAACATTGACTTAGGTTTCGCCCTTAATATCTAACAGATGATCACCATATGCAGTCAATGGACTGGTTGGCCTAATTTTTGGTCGTCCAATACTTGTCATTATATCAATTCCTATCAATGACGCTTGTGCACCAGTGTCAAATTCAATTCAACATCTCACTCATTTACCTCTGCAGTTAGTTTTGCTCGATTCTTTCAATTTTATTACTTGCAAAATGACTAATTTTTTTACATTTATACATGCCGCGTTTGAAGCTGGACATCTCACTTCTCAGTTATGTCGTGATCCTTTTTTTAAAAAAAGGTCGATCCTGGATTTCGATTCTCTTTTTTTCAAAAGATCGTGATTCGATCTTTTTAAAAGGATCGATTAACAAGCCTATATTAATTTAATTAAGGTTATATAATAATTTAAATAATAAAACAACTAATTAAGCTTCAACTGCTAATGCTATATTAATATTTAGTGAGTGATATTTGTCACAGTTTGTAGAATTTAAGATTGGGAAATTAGAATCATTGTCAAATAAAGAAAGGTTAATTAGACTGAAATGTCCATAGAACATAATGTTTCGGTAACAAATGTTGTAATTGAGAATTAAAGAGAATACAAATAAATAGTATAAATAAATTAACTACTAATACTTTATTAATTAATATAAATTGTAATTACATAATCATAACTAAAATTAAAATAATATTAAAAAAAATTAAAATTAAAAGATTAAAAATTATGTTCGCAAATTCATAAATATTATTTTTTAAATAAAATATCCTCACTTATATATACTTTTCTATACTATTCATTTACATCGTCTTTACTCAAATAATAAAATAATTCGTTTCGTTTTTCTGTTTCAGTCGATTTGAATATTACTTCTTTTTTCTCGATTTTATTTAATTTACATATTACAACAATATTGATATATCTTTAATACAGAATTTGATTGCAAGCTGACAGACAGAGTGAACATATAATTTATATGTAAATAATTAAAATAGTATTTATTTAATAAAAATACAGATAGTTTTATTAATTTTTAAATAATAAAATTAAATCTATATATCACTCAATAGATTTATAAAAGAAATCGTTCAGGGGGAAATTAAAAAAAATTTATTTTTAGTTCAAGGGGATATTAAAAAGCAATTAAAAAATTTTTTTTCTGCTTCAGAGGGCTATTCAAATTTTTCAGGGGGTTCGAGCCCCCCCCCCCTTCAGCGACGCCACTCTTTTGGATATTTTTTACCAAAACATTTTTTGATCTGATGCATATACCAAATTAAAGCAATAAAATATACTAATTAGGCATTACTTAATGGTGTGTTATAGGTTACAAAATAGAATTTTCAAAATCTTGGCTCATTTCACATTTAAAGAATTAAATATCTCCTTTTATTTACGATAAAAATTTATTTTGCTAGCGCAAAACTAATTGAGAAATTGATAAGTACTAATAGTTATATATTTTTTTTCTATGAACTACCTGCCTGCTAAGTGAGTTAGCTAATTTAAGTATAGATAAAATGTATAGATAATACTTATGGTTGGTTTTTTATCATGAGCGATAAAAATTTGTTGCCACTAATTTTTTGCTATGCTGTCTATTCAACAGAGTATGGCCCTTATTATCATTACCCAAAATATTGGAACTGAATTTAGAACTAGTGCTTCCAATTGTTCCATCAATTTCACGGAGATAGCAAATGAAATATTTTAGAGAAAAATAACTGAAGAGATATTCTATAGATAAAACGCAGAAAAAGGCAGGTGGATAAAAAAATTTAAGAATCCCACTCAACCCTTCTATATTTACAGAGAGATTTTTATTACACCACTATTTTCAATATATTTATCCTTTTTAAATCTATTTTTATATAGATATTTTTTATAAGAGGATAATTGAAATAATTAATATTATATATATTAAATAAGTGATACGTTAGATAAACTTCATCTATATTTTATAAGGATTTATAGTCCTATCTTTAGTATATTTTTATTGTGGATCATGATATAAATGCTTCACTAAGATTAATTTAAAAATTTTGCCCGCACTTCAATATAACTTTAAATTAGCTAAAGTTATTTTATTTATTTATAATGGCTTCGAATTCTATAATGTCTGAGAAGAAAATTAGAAAAGAAAAGGAAATTTTACTGGAATTCGATCTAAATAGCAAAGGTAAATATAATTTTCACGATAATTATATTACTTATCTATAAATACAATACAATCGGTCTAACTATTTTCTATCATTGGTACATTTTCACTGTTATCTATAGTGATATGTACCTTTTTTTTATATTTAATTTTTTAAAAATATATTTTTAATTCAACAGTGTATATATAAATGTTTATGCTTTAAAATAAAATAAGATATTCAGTTTAAACAAAATCAATCTAAAATTATTACAGACAATATGCTGAGATAGAAATTTTAATAATTGATGAAAACTTTGGGTCAATAACCATATTATGGTTGGTTAATTATATTATATTTTGATTAAAATTGTTATAATAGTAAATTATAAAAAAAAATAATTATGTTTTTTTGTAATAAAATATATTTAAATTATGTTTATATTTTTTTTAAAAATCTTTTTATAACAGATTAGGTAAATATATAATTTTTTTTTTCCATTTAAGATATAAATTATTTTAAAGATACATTGCTAAACTATTTTATATAACAATAGAATAATGTAATTTATGTAATTGGCTGTAGTGCAAATCTTTTATTTGTTATTTTTCTAAAATCATTTTTTTTATTTGGAATATTTCTATTAGGTCTATAATTGCTTAAAAAGGGTTTTTGGGCTTGCGCCATAGAATAATTTTGACCAAATTGTAGCCTGGCCTATATTAATTTTTTTTATAAATTAAAAAGTAATAAATTTGCCTAATTTAATTGTAAGCTTTAGAATTTTGGTTAGGCCTAGAAAGATATTTTGCATAAGTTGTCTAGTCAGCCAAAAAATTCTTTGGTATAACTTTCAAGGTGGACTTAGCTGGACAATGCCAACTTTTTATCTGTATAGCCTTGCAGATCCACAATTATTTTATTGATCAAATCTAATAAGTTTGAAAAAAATCATTAAATATTTGAATTTTTTTAAAATATATTTTTGATTTTGTGAAAGATTTTTTATGCATAAAATTTCAAAAAATTACTTTTAAAAGACATTAACATTTTTAGGTAAAATTTGATCAAAAATATTTCTTCTACAAAGAAAAACAAGATTTTTGAAGATTATTTTCAAACTCTGCTTTGAACCAATGTCAAAAAAAGAATATTTTATACATAAAATCAAATAAAATAACATACTAACTATAAGCTATGAGCAAAAAAACTTTAATCTTCTGTTTTTTATTGCTAAGGTGATATTTTATGCATTATTAATGATTAAGTGTATATTGTTTTTTTATTCCCCAAAAGTTAATTTATTAAAATATAGGTAATGTTTATGGCTGAATAGATTGGTTTAATTTTTAAATTCCCCTTTTATTGCAATTGCAAATAATTTAACAAAGAAATAATATCACATTTAATAGTTCTTTTTAAAATAATTCTATTTTTTAAACATTACAATTAAATTGTAATTTTGTTCATTTATTATTTATCAGAGACCTGCAGATGTACCATTTTGTAAGGCTGGCCCAGATTTTTATAAAAAATTTCCGGCCCAGCCCTGGTTTTATATTTTCAGACCTGGCCCAGATTTTTTTGAAATATATAATATATTTTTTCAATTTTTTAGTAATGACAATTTAAACAATTAGGTTTTGAAATATATGGCTTAGCCCAGTTTTTTTGAAAATTTTTTTATCCCCTGCCTGGGTATTTAAGCCCGGTCCAGGTATATTTAAAAAAATTAAAATTTGGCCTGGCCAGTGTACCTCAGCTGGGCTTAGGGCTAGACCTGCAGGCCTCTGTTATTTATAAAAATTATAGATAAAATAATTAATATTATACAATTATAATATGCAATCATAAAATGACCCAAAACATTTAAAATATATGATGAGATCAGTTTTTTAAAAATTGGCCTTATTCAATTTTTCTTAAAACTGTAAACATTGTTTTCATTTTCAATATTTAATATTGGCACATCCTTAAGAATCTATTATATATGAAAAGCTCATATTTTTTTAAACATTAGAAACATGTTTTTTTTTCAAAATCATTATTCTATTTATAAATATAATGAATAACAGTTAATGTTTGCTTTTTTTTTGTCTCCTGAGCAATTTTTAAAATACAAAAATTATTTTACATTAGGCTTAAATAAAAGGATTTCACATTTAGGCCATGGCCTGATCTAGACTAGTCTGCACATCCTGGCTTAGGTACACTGGCAAAACCTTAAAATATATATTTTTCAAAATAAACCTGGGTCTAGGAACATATATTTTTAAAATACTTGGGCTAGGTGGAAAATTTTTTTCTTATGTAAACCCAGGCTGGGCCAAATATTTAATCTTGATTATTATATCCATTGTATAAATAAAATAATGATTGAAGTAAAATATAAGATTTTTGCATAATTAAATAATATATCACATTCATTCACTTCTCATACTTATATATTTACAAAACCATTTTATGGAAAATTTTTCATACACCCAGACCGGGCTAGAAATTTCATTTTTTAAGAAAATATTGGCCAGGTTAAAAATTTAAAAATTCAGGTTAGGCCGAAAATTTAAAATCCAAGCAAGACTGGAGCGATTTTTTTTTAAAAAATCCAGGGCAGGCCTTGCAGTTGGTATTTCTACAGGTCTCTGATATAATATATCTTATAAGCACACCTGGTGTTTTCTAGAGTTCTGAAATTAAAATTCGTTTAAAAGTTACGAATTTTTATGTCACTTCATTTATTTGGCATTTGAAGCCAATATCTGATGGCTCTGTTTGATTGATTTTTATGCAATATATTTATGTATCTGTAAATAGATACAGTTATAGCTAAAATTATATCAATATGATTGATATAGGTATAATTGAAACTTTATCTAAATATAAATATTTTTTAATAAAAATGTATCTAGATAAGATACGATACAAGATACAAAATTTAATTAACATTGAATATAAAAAAATCTCTAGAGTATTAGTATTTTTTCTCTTATCAAATTATTATCGATTTTTTTTTTCAATAATATTTTTTGTCCAATTTTTCAAAATTTATGCAATTTTTTTTTTAAATAAGAAAACGATTGTTTAATTAAAATAGGCTATTCTTTGTTCACTAGATCACTTCTTTCTTTCTTTTCAATAACCAAGTTTTTTTTATCTTCTAGTAGTTTTTTGAGTTGTCTTGTCAATCATATCTTATCTATACAAGGCTACTGAACAAATGTAACAAAAATAAATGAAACTGTGAATTCGTTTTTTTAGTTTTAAATGTTTACAAGTTTCACTATCCTGTTTGGATAATTTTTAGTCCGTTTCAGAAAACCTTAGTACGCGAAAAGGAACAGATTCTTAGTTTCTGTTTTTTTCCCTTCGAAACCCTATAACCAACCCCCCTCCCCCTCCTTTTCACATAATTCGATCAAACATCTATAAAAATTTAGCCTGCATCCTCCCGCTCCTTGGTTACATTTTTTTGGCCAACAATCTTGCCATTTTTTTGAATATCTTGTTCGGTTCTCGAACACCATCCGAATTCTATGTCTCCGGTATTTGACTAATAACCTAAAAAATGACGAAAAAGAAAATTTATCTTTAATTTTTTATTTTATTAATTTTGACTATTTAAAAAGAGATATAAATAACATTATTATTTATTATTAAACCATAATAATTTTTTATTTTAAATATAACAAAATACGTCCATATTTATAAAACGGTACAAATGTAGCATTTTTTTCGGATATTGGAAAGAAGGAGTGGGTAGGGTGGTGTAATAGCCAAATTGTCACCAGTATTATTTATTTTAAAATTTAAAAAAAAAATGTACTACAAATATTAGAATAATAATCATTGTTTATAATAAAAAATAATGATAAAAATATGTTTTGTTTGTTGCTTTGCTATTAGATTAAAAATTATTAGTATGCAATTTTTTCCATATATAAATTCAATACATTTAAAAAAAGATAGATGCATTTAAATCCAAAAAAAAAATTCGGTTAAATTAGGCGTCGCGTTTTAAAATTTATGACGGTTATTTACCTTAAAAAAATTATTTGTTTGTATGATAAATTATGGATACACATTTTTTTACACGATATAATATAATTGAATGAGAATTAATATTTTTTAAAAATTTGATACACCTTTATCGATACATTTGAAAAGTATCTCTTTTTTTTATAAAATCATATATAAATTTACAATGATTAATGATGCTTCTGCTTGATTTATTTGCCCTTTCTCCGGTAATAACGCAATTAAAATTATACTTGTTTGTTTACAAATTTTTAAAAAACTAACTGATTGATTATCTGTGCCGATGTGAGATGCAATTATAAATAAAGTTTATAAGCAAGGAGTGGAGGTAGGAGAGAAGGATTGATGAAGGAAAGAAGTGAAGGGAGTCAATGGATATTGTTTTTTTAAAATCTGCATCTTCTCTAGAAGACATCCAACTTTTTTAGGTGGACCTGAATAGTTGGAGGGATTGTCTAGAAAAAATCTTTGGAAACCTCTTAACTAATAAAAATTAATGATTACCCTAGGTTATTGACTCGGCTGCCTCATAATCATCTGAATTGCAACTTACAAAGAGCAGACATAGGTTAAATTATATTAAAGGTCAAGGCCGTCGACAACATCAATCATTAATAAATAAATTTTCTCAGCCTATTCTTAAAAAAGGCCTGATTCGTCAGAAAATGGCCTAAGACCCGTCACAACTATGCAATGGGCCATGGTTAAATCTTTCATTTAAGATTATACTTGGCTTTTCCACTTTCCTCGCAACTGTTAATAGTAACACTGACCCTAGCAGAAACCAAAAAAAGAATAAACAAATACAAAACACTGGTTTACCTTAGCCACACCCGCCAATGGACAACTTTCCCCCAAAATAAACTTTGCATAAAAAGCGTATCTAAACATTGGAGGCCAAAAATAACGGCATAAAATAAAAATTGTGATTTTTTTCTCAATTGAGAGTACCCCCCCCTCCCCCCCCCTTTCCTCATATCTTTTTTATAGCACAATTTTGTATATT